AATTGTGCTGCTATAAACATTCGAGTGCAGATGTCTTTATTATAGAATGTCTTTTTTTCCTTTGGATAGATGCCTAGTAGTGGGATTGCTGGATCAAATGGTGTTTTATTTTTAGCTCTTTGAGGTATCTCCAAATTACTTTCCACGGGGGTTGTACTAATTTGCAGTCCCACCAGCAGTGTAAGAGTGTTCCTGTCTCTCTGCATCCATGCCAACATTTGTTATTTTGGGACTTTTTGACAGAGGCCATTCTCACTGGAATTAGGTGATATCTCATTGTGGTTTCGATTTGCATTTCCCTAACGATTAGAGATGTCGAGCACTTTTTTATGTTTGCTGGCTATTATTCTGTGTTCTTATGAAAAGTTTCTGTTCATGTCCTTTGCCCATTTATTGATGGGGTTGTTTGATCTTTTCTTGTTGATTTTCTTAAGTTCTATATAGATCCTTGTTATCAACCCCTTAACAAAAGGGAAAAAAAAAGAACCTGGGGGGCAGGGGGTCCGGTGAATGGGGGAAAAAACCAAACCTCTGTCAGCCCAGAATGTGCCTGCAGCACCAACCTGATAGTGGCCTCAAGTGTCAAGTTAAAGCCTTTAAAGTGCAGAATAGGACCTCTGTGGTGCTAACTCATTCTGACCTGGCTAAATCTGGGTGACACTCTCTGTGTCCATTCATCTGCACAGAGCAGCATCCTGATGCTCTGACACTGTGCAGGAAAGAGTCTGCATGCTGGAGGGGCCCTGAGTCTGAAGAGTTCAGGACATGTTAGCAATGAGAAATGTAACTCAGATTGCTCATTTTGAGGTTCTGAGTCCCTGCCTTAGCTAGGCATGGTTCTTCATAGAATATTCATGGTTTTTAATTTAATTATTGCTATTTACCAAGAAAGTAAATATTTATTATAAAAAGCTTTTGAAATGTAGGATATAAAAATATAGGAACTTGGCTGGGCGTGATGGCTCATGCTTATAATCCCAGCAGTTTGGAAGGCCAAGGCAGGAGGATCAATTGAGGCCAGGAGTTTGAGGCCAGCCTAGAAAACATACCAAGACCCCGTCTCTACAAAAAATTTTAAACATTTTTAGCCAGGCATGGTAGCATGCACCTGTAGTCCCAGCTACTTGGGAGGCTGAGGCAGGAGAATCACTAAAGCCCGGGAGTTGGAGGCTGCAGTGAGCTGCGATTGTGCCACTGCACTCCAGCCTGGGTGATAGAGTGAGACTCTGTCTCCTAAAAATATATATATAGATAGGAAATTATATATATCTGTAATAACCTCACCATAAACAGATGACCGCTGTTAATATGTCAGCATGCATATGTGCTTTCTCTTTATATAGATGTTCGTGTGGATGTATGTGTAAATGTACCTGACAAATTAGGGCCCTGTTATGCATGCTACTCTGAAACATATTTTATTTGTATAACAATATATTATAGGCACTTTTTATACTAATAAATAATTTTATTGTATCCTTTATGAGGCTTTAACATTTTCATACTATAGATTGAGTATAAATAACTCTGTGAATAACTATAAATATTGTTTTGAATACAGATTGAGTTTATTACCTGGTACTCATAAGATATTCTCATTTACCATAGCCATTTGTTAACTTGTCACAGAGTCAACGATTAAAAATACACTGGGTACAATCATGCCTTGTATCCTTAACCTTTAGAAACCTTGATTTTACATGTCATTTACTGAGTTTTTCTGTTGAGGTCGTAAACAGTTTATCTTGTTCCATCTTTGCACATCGTCTTGATGAAGTCTGGTTTTGTTCATGTAGGTTTCACTAAGAAAGGTTTGTTCAAATTGAAGTTTGCATGTGCCTCAAGAAAGTTTAAGGTTTACCAAGCAAAGAACATATTCCATATGGGCCTTTTTTTTTTTTTTTATGACATAAAGGGACTGCTTCCAGGTACCAGTCTGCTTCTAAGCCAGCAGTTATAGGCAGTGGGTTTATAAATCTTCAGGGCATCAGCATCAGCTGTGGAAACACAAGTGTCTGTGTGAGGCCCTGGAAGAGGCACTGTGTATGCACATGCAAAGGGCAACCTTGGGATGCAGAAAGCTCTGGAAACCCAGGGGAAACCCAGAGGGGAGAAACTCATGCTGCTGAGAAGCGGACACAGAGTGATGTCTGAGGTGGACCCTGAGGAAGGTGCAGGATTTCCCCCATTGGACAGAGGGAAGGAAGGGAGTCCCCTAAGCAGTCATGAGGCCCAGAGGGCTATGAGCCACGCAGGGGGAACAGCTGCTAATCTTGGGTGCCAGCAAAGGCAGGTTAGGGTGAGTGGTGTTTTCAGAAGATTTCCTTGGAGTCTTATGAAATGAAGCAATAAGGAATTACTCTTTAACCTCTGTCCCCATCTCAGACTTCACCCAGAATTCCAGGCTCCACTTCCTGTGGACACCTGAAATATGGCCAGCCCCACACCAAAGGTTCTCCTTTCCCTACAAAGCTGTTCCTCCTCACAGGTTTCAGTCTCGGGTGTTTCACCATCTTCCAACCCCGTCTCTTAAACCAGAGTCTAGAACTGTCCCTGGGAACAGTACTAAGGATTGTCTTCTTTACTCCCATACCGTAAGTCCCCAGGCCCTATGGAGTCGCCCTCAGCTCACCCCCATCTCTCCCAGCCTCCCCAGGCCACTGTGCCTCCCATACCTAACACACCCAGGGACTCTCACTGGCCCCCTCTCCATTCTCGCTTCCTTCTGAATCCTTTCCATATGAACCACATCACTGGATTGTTTGACACCTACCAAGCGAGTTTTCTACAGGCAGAGGCCCCCACCTCTCTGACATGCTGTTAAACTGGCACTGGATCCGGCCCTACCTGCAACCCTGGTGGCAGCTCAGTATTCACACCCACGGCTTTAATCATCCTGAAGTGAAACTAGAAATTCCCAAACCGCACCTACTACTTTTCCACCCCTCTTCACATCTGTGTTTTTACTGCCTCTTAAGCAGGGTTTACAAGAATACTTTTTACACTCTAATGATGGACTGTGAGAGAAGGACAAAAATCTCTGCATCCCAGGACTGGGGTAGCACATCCCTGGCATGCTTGCGGCCTCTACCCATCCTGTACCCATGACACACATCTCTAATTGGCCATGACATTCTTTCTTGATGAACCTATATGTGACCCCCAAATGATTCTCGACCCTGTGTCCAGGCTGCCTCCATCAATCTACTAGGTTCTCTTGGTCCTTACAGGTAGAACTTTTGGCATACTAGAAGTATACCCACAGAAAATGTTTCTAAGTGATCATTATAAGAGAAGCCCCTAATATAACCAAATCCAACACAGACAGAGCATGAACATCTGAGTTTAAAATAAATCATTGTCTTCTTTGCAGAAGGGTTCTTGCCTTGCCAAAAAAGACTGCAGGATATGCATAATATAATGTGATTTATATAGATTTAGTTTTCATGCACTTCGCAAATTATGAGTAAGTTAAATCCCAAGGGCACAAAAGCTAGGATACTTGACTAGGTTCGTGCAGATACCAAACAAGCAAGCATGGAGGAAACCCGGGCATTTAGCCTCCATGAGATTCACATTCTTAAAAATTGCCCTTTGCCTGTCCTCTCAAAGATGGGTAAGACAAGACCTAAACCTCCAGGAGCTCCTGGTTTGGTGAGGGAGACAAATTAATCTGGACACTAAACTCCCCAGGGTTCTCTGGTAAATGCCAGAGTAGTCTTGGGAACACAAAGAAGTGTTTGTTACTTCTATCTAGTGAGGGTTGTGAGGTCAGAAGAGGCTTCCTGGAGGTGCCGATCTTCAGCTAAGTCCTAATATAAATAATTTGCCAGTCAAACAGGTGAAGGAGAGAAAGCATTCCGGGCAGAAGGATGGCATAAAATTTTTGGATTTGTAACACTTTCAGTAAATCTCTACTGAGCACCGAGTAGAGGGAAAACCCTGCATTTGGTTGTGGAGCACAAGACAAGATCAAAGCCTCAAGTCTTTGTCCTTAAATGCCTGGCAAGTAAAATATACAATTGTAGTACAGTATGAATTAATAATGATTGTGATCATACAGAACCCTCTAGAAGCCCAGAGAAGCAACTTACCAACCTGAGGGCACAGGAAAGCCAGTTGGTCATTTCTGTGCTTGACTTCTACGGGCAGAAATAAAGCGATCTTATTGCAGGCAAGCAATATTATGGATGGATATTAGCATGTACAATATGACTAAGATATTAACAGGACACTGTGCTTTCTCCCTCTAGATGAAAGGCTGCATAAAGGTGTTGAAGGAACAGGCCCCAGACAGTGTGGAGGGGCTGCTGAATGCCCTCAGGTGAGCTTCCGCGCTGCAGTAGACGCACCTGGGGCAGCCAGCCCTTCAGGTCTATTGCAGATTTAAATGCTGTTGGGGACCAAAGGATGGAAGACCAGGCTTAACTCTTTGCATATTTTAACCTCATAACCTGTATAAGAACCTATAGAGGGCAGCACCATTTTTATCATCCTCTTTTGGATGGATAAAATAATAGAGAAGGCAAATAAACTTATCAAAAGTCACACAGTAAATGGGCAAGCTAGGACCTAAATCCGGGACTGGGTGACCCCACAGGTCATCAACCTAATTCTCTGCCACACTGCTTTGTGGTCGCTGGGAACTCCCCAGAGCAAGAGACTTCCAGGGTCTCACGCCCCCTTCACCAGTGGTCCCCAAACCTGAGTGCACATGAGGGTTATGTGGGCAGCTTTTGAAAACACTCTGACCCAGACCAAATGGATCTAGTCTCTGGGCTTGGGGCTCCAGCAGCCACTTTGTGTTTTGTTTGTTTGTTCAAAAGTGCCCCAGGTGATTCACACGTGCATTAGCCAGAACTGAGAATCCACTGTCTGGATGCCTAAGTATCTGGCCAGCTGTGGCGTGTTCTAGCTCCTCACTGCTAACAAGTTACGCCCAAGCAGCAGCTCACTCCCCACGGATGCATGTGTTTAGTTCACTTCAGAGAGGGGATTCTTATTCTTTGGCTATGACACATCTACACGGATCTGTCAAATCACACTGCTGTGTAAATCCTCCCAGCACTGGACTGCAATCTGGAAGGTGTATGGTCCCTGTCGTCTTCTTCATGTTTGATTTCCCTCAGTTCCACTCAATGCTGTGGATGCAGTAAGTGTTTAATAAATATAAGTGGAACGGATCAATAATCCTCTGCCTGTGTGCAACACTCACGTTTGATACTCCACTTACAATCACATTGTCTCACTTAATCATCACAAGTCTGACAGGGAAGGCTCATCTCTCGTCTCCATTTAATAAATGAAGAAACTGAGACACACAGGAAACGCACAAACTAGACACGGAAGTTGATGCCATTCTGCTGAGTTGCTAAGTCATCACCCTTCAAAGCAGATATATTGTTAACTTAAGAGCCTTACCTAGTCGATGGGTGAACCGTCAGTGTCCTTGACACACCAGGCTGGCTTGCTACATACAGTAAGAGGACTTTAACTTCTGAATTTTTTTGAACTTACCAGCTTCATTCAATCAGGCTAAGCACTGTGTTAGGTTGTGGGTCTCCCCTGAGTGGTTGGAATTTGTGTCTCCTGAAGACACTGTGATGAAGTTAAAAGAGCACAGGTTTTCGAGGTAGCCAGATCTAGGTTTGAATCAGAAATCACAAGTTGTTCAATCAAGTCTCGAATCGTTAGCTTTGTGATCTGGAGTGGGGCATTTAACCTCTCCGAATCTCAGTTTTCTCATCTGTAAAATGAAGGCAATAACCTTGCCTTCAAAGAGTTATTACGAGCGAGATGAAAACGTACACAGAATACCCAAGACATGATCAAGGTTCTACTACATGTTTATTCCCTTTTCCTTCCTTTGCGTGAACGATTTCTCCACCAGGTTAATGGGAGGCTGCGGATTACACAACTTTTGTTGGTTGTGTACCTGCATTTCTGCCCCCTCGTGGTGGCAAAGAGGTTAAGTGTTGCCATGACAGTGGAGAGAAATAAACATTCAAGTCTGGGAGAATGTTGCTTTCCAAACTCCTATTTTGAAATTCGGGACTCAGTAGGGTAGCCTCAATGGTCCAGATTCTGCACTCGGTCATGTGAAGTCTACCTCCCTGAAAAAGGAGATTGCTTGTACTTCCTCTGCGTAAGTATTTGATTTGGTTAAAAAAAATCTACTTGTTTTATTAACCGTAACACAAAATTCCTTTGGAAGGAAGAATGAAATATTCAATCTGTCTGAGAATACTGTGAGCATTGAAGTGTGGCTCTTTGTCCAAAGAACTGAGCCCACATTTGATTTATAAATATCAATTGTTTTCCAAGGTAAAGATGGGCCAGCGAGTCTTTATGGAAGCTTTCACAGAGCGCTGTGAGCACGCTAACCGCTGTCATTCTCTCCCCATCCAGGTTCACTACAAAGCACTTGAATGATGAATCGACTTCCAAACAGATTCGAGCGATGCTTCAGTAGAGCTCTGCTCCAAGAAGAGGATCTATGTGCTGACCTCAGAAGATGTATATGTTTACATAATTTAATACAGATTGATGTTAATACTTGCGTATTTACATAACCGTTTCCTTCTTGTCACTGAAATATATGGACCTTAATTTGTATCCTGACTGACTCGACCCAGCAGAGCATAAATTGACTTGAGAGCCTTACCTTTGATGTCTGAAACGAAACCCCCTTCTCCAAAGGCAAAATTTGGAGACTTTGATCTTTGCTACCGGAGTCCTTTAGTGACACCTGTAACAATCAGAAATTCCTAATAGTTTGTGGTAGTGTTTTAATACTAGATGTGTCATCTCTCTGGGAAGTATAGTTCATAGAAACACAAAGTATTTGATTTCCTGTGTCGGCTCAGCTACAAGAAACACAACTGTTATCCTGACAGAGGGAGAGAGGAATCCAAGAGAAGAAAAATGCATGTGGAGAGGCAAGCCCAAGTGTTCTGAATTCAGCACATCCCCTCTCTGTCCTCAGACTGCAAACCACATGTGCAACTTTTCTGTTTGCACGTGTTTTATTAATCAGCATATTCCCTTTCTGTCTGGATTTATACCCTCTAACATTCCCTTTTAATTTTGCAAGAGGAAAACCACCTGTATTTTCATCAGTTAGTGGGAGAGCATCAGGAATAAATAGGTGTGCTATTGCAGCTGGACGGATGAAGGTGGTTGTCTTGGAGGTGGGGGACAGGTTAGAGGGGGGGCACCCAGGCAACAGGACAGCCATCTGTCTGCTTCAACCCTCTGCCTACAGGGACAGGGAAATGGAACTCTGGCTTTGAAATTATAGGTAAGTTTGCCAACTGTCCATGTGCCTGCAGAGTGCTGAGTGCACAGCCCCTCCTACTAGGAGCCCTGTTCTCTGTAGACCATTCAATGGGAACAGAGGTCTAGGGCACCTCATTGGCTACCAGAAAACTGGAGAAATGTAGAGGGGAAAAGAATCCATGTGTTCTGGTTCCTTGGTGTTTAAAAGGCAGCTCTTCCCTGAACCCACTGCTAGATCACTGCATTGTAAAAGCTCTGGTCTGAGTACCTGGATTTAGTCCTAGCCCTACTAATGATTCATAGTGTGATCGTGGGAAATATGTGTAAGCTCTCTGAATCTCAACTTCCTCATCTATAGCATGAATAATTAAAACAGACAATCTTCAACAATCCAGTAAGGCTCAGAGCCAATAAAATGACTGACTCTGCCCTTCTTCCCTAGTAAGTATAGTCCACTAAGCATCGCCCCACCTTGTGTTGTTGATTAACAATATTAAAAGACCTGCAATAATTATGAATGTAGATCAGAGCTTAGAATAGAAACTTGAAAATCTTCTATTCTGACTTCCAGCGGGAAAATGGGACCAGAGGATGTAGTCACACAGGATGGCTCCCACGTGGGACTAGAACCCAGGGTGCTTCAATCTTAACTCCATGCTCTTCCTTTTTACCAAGTGGCCTGTGAACACATACTATGGGATGGGACTCCACCCTTGTACATAAATCTGCAATCGGCCTATATTATTAGTTGCCTATTTTCATTAGAAGGAAAGAGTCACCCAGACAGTTAGTAAATGATAATCCTGGAAGTTGGAACTGGGAACACCAAGATTTGTCATCATTTGCAACGTCCCAGAAATGAGCTGTAAGACACCATTGCCTTCTGGACTTCAGTGGCCAGCTGAAATTCCCTTGGGTCCTCTAAGAAAAGGGGACAAATAGTTGTTTTGTTTTGTTTGAACAAAGAAATGCAGTCAAGTGACAGGAAAGATTCCCTATATCTAAGCGTCAGTCAACAGAGAAAGGAAAGGCTCTTTTCCTTGGAGATTTTCAAGCTCAACAAGTATGCTGCATGGGTGGAGGTTCTCATCAGGACAGAAACATGTTAGGTAGCCTTCAGGACCTTTTCGAACCTAGGGATTCTAACACCCTAGAGGAAGCCAGAAAAGGTGGTAAACACCAGGTGAGCAAAGTTCCTAAATATTTAGCTTAAGAAATGTTCTATTTGGCAGCCCTGTGTTATGCTTGAGCAACAATTGTCAAGACTAGAAATATAGAAGCACACGATGTTTGTCATCATTGGTTCCATGTTCCTCCTTTAGCAGGTGAGGAGATTAGTCTTGAAGAGAGAAAGGTTTGCCAACCAGCACAGGGCTCAAGTCATGTGTCTATACCATAGCTGCCTCTCGCTGGCTAAGTGAGAAAATGTTTGGGATTATCGTTCAAGTTATTAAATATATTTGTCTCAGAGTAAATAGTTAAGCACAGTTATAATTTTAAATTAGACATTCTATCCAATGGGACCAAACATGCAGGAGGGGCTGCTGGCCTTCCCCAGTCTTACCAGGCCACCTTGTCTCAAAGCCAAGACTTAGCAGTACGTGGATGCTGAAAAGCCCAGGGTGGGAATTGTTGCCTCTGATTATCGAGAGGACAAGTTAACTGAATGTCTGTGATCACTAACAGGTGATGGGCCTTGGGTCCACTCCATAGCTACTGTGGGAGACAAATTCTTTTAACAGACTGTCCGCCAGGCATTAGGAGTCCTTGAACAATCACGGGTTGTTTTTTCTTGTGCTGCATGCACACGTGTCCAAGACTTATGGGTGGTTTAGGGGAAAGTGCTAGCGACAGTGTCAATGTTAACTATATTTCATATTTGAGGTCTCATAGTTTTTAAATAAACAGTGTTTTCCATAACTCAGATATTTATTTTGGGGCAAGCAACAAAGTAAAAATTATGTTTCTCAGTTACCTTGCTACTTTGGCATTATAACTCTGTTCTCAGAAACCTTTCATGTGCCACTAGGAATTAGTAGTAAAAAACAAGTAGAAATGGATATTTTAAGTTGTGCTAACCCTTTAGGACTGGAGTGTTAAGAACCAGAAAGAAATGTTTGCATATTACCTTTTATCCATTGATTAATATCATGCTTCATCAACATTTGCTCCTAGTCATCACCATTATATCAAATCATTAATGGTAACCTGAGGTTTTTCATGCATCATCACATTTAAGTAAAAATAATTTCCTGTTTTTCCAAAAGAAAAGTCTACTCAATCTTAGGATCCAATTGTGCAGTAGAATTCAGAAACATTTCATTCGATGTCATATCCTGGACAGCTGGATTTTTTTAAATGTTAATAATAAACATTGGAATTTTATCTTAAAGAGCCCCAAACCACGGAACCCAGTTTTCCCACTACATCCATAAAGGCCGTTGCATACCAGATGCTGTTTTAAAGTTGTTATATGTTGTTTGCTGAAGTCATTGTAATTTTTTTTTTTGCCTGCTTTGCCTCTTTTTGTACAGAAGTTTTGAGTGTGAAATGAAAATTAAAGTTTGGTACATATATTTAAAAATACCCCTCTACTTTATATGATGTTCAAGGTTGAGTGGGTGACAAACACTTGATGATTAGTCCACATAGATATTTACTAAATACCTGCGCTGAGGAAATCACACCAGCTGCCCTTTACCTCTCTACACCCCAGTTTCTTCAAATAGAACATATAATACTCAAAATGCGCTACTGTTGGTACCAGGTGTCTCTTACTCATTTTAGCAAGGACCCTTCATTATAAAAAAGGCAGAAAAGGAAAAGAGACATTGATATCTAGAAATGCATGAGACCTACTTGTCCAGGGATGCTAAGAAACCCTAATAAATGTTCTTTCATTTTCTTTCCAGTGTAGTAGCACTTTATACATTTGGCAAGATCAGCAAATAACCTATTCCACATCAGTACGTTTTTCAGACAATGTAAGCACTAAAACAACTCTTTTAACTATTCACCATTGAAGCTTTTCTAGAGAATTACTTTTAATCCATGCAGTTCTGAAGCTGATCACCTGAGACCTAATTGTGTTTGCTCTCAATGGGACAGAATCCCCAAGAGAGACCTTCCAGTGATGCCCTGTGCAAAAGGCACAGTCATTAGGATTACTTGGGACACAAAGGGAAACGAATAGAAATGGGAATTTTTCTGCAAATTGTCAAATGGACACATTTAAATGGATAAAAACTGGAAGAAGAGAGAAGGAAAGGGGCCTCTGAAGAGTGCGTACGTGTCCCTAATTCAATGAGTGTTGTGAGTCAAAAGACATGAAAAATGAAGAGGAGAGAATGTGCGTGGTTATCAAGAGGAAAACAGCTCGTAAGGAACTGAGGGATGTGTGATTCGGAATACCCTTCATACTGGCCAGAAAGTTGGCTGTTATTTATTTAGGGTTCTCTTGAAAGAATGGGTATGAGGAGCTTAAGCTGGCCACACTCCTGAAACCTGAGGAATATTTGCAATCTGTATTCATACCTGATTTCACACTTTGGCTTATCAGTGAGTAGGTAGAATTTCTAGATATCTGCTGTTTGAAATGTCTACATTACATTTGGCCATCACAACTTAAGTGACTGATCAAATAATACTAAATAATATTGACTGATTGATTTAAACTATTCAAATGCATTAATATTAATACATTAATCTATCAATACTCAAATGCTGATGGAGACTAGTCTAAAACTGTGCTGATCTCACCTGCATAGTACCTCTTACAGAGTAAATAAAGGGAGGTCTTGGCTACTCTGCTTCGGCTCAAAAGTCAAACTCCAAAGAACGGATCTTTTCTGCCCTCGTCCCATCAAGTTCCCAAGGCTGCAATTTTGGTTCTGTAACTCTTCCCCTGCCTGTTTCTCTTACACAAAAGTCTGGAAATCCCAGAACTGTTGGAAATGGATGCCCTGAAAACACATCGTGCAAAATACCTCCATCAGAGGTATTCCGTTTTTCAAACAGAATGCTGTTTGAAATTGTGCTATGTACGATGTTAGATATATCTCAGAACTTAGTTTTAAAAGGGTGTTTTCAGGGGACAGTTTCTGAAAACTTACTTTAAAAATTATTTTCTCTATGCAGTATTCCAATTTTCCCCATCAAATCTCATACTTCCAGATTCTTCTTCCTCTCTGCATGCATTTTTATTTTACAAATTTTCCTTGTTTGTACCATGACAGGCTTTGTTTCAAGTTGAGAACTATGTTTTATGAACCATTCCTAAGCCACCCGATAGCTAAACTTCTCGGTGCTGTGATTTGACAACCAGAAGTTTTAAGAGGCTCCTTACACCCTTAAGAACATGTCTCTAGCAAATGTCAAAAGTACTTGGTAGAAGCTATCAAATTATTTTCTTCCAAATGTCAATTTGAAACGGATATTTCTTCCTTTTGTATGAGAGAAAAAATACAATCACTGTGGAGAAGGGTACAGGAGTCGTGGT